GAAAATGAAAGGTAGCAAAAGAAGAAAAAAATCTTATATTTTCTGCCCCTTTTCAACAAAGATAAAATACATAAAATTAAAACCATCAAACATAATCATCAAAAAACAGAATAATCCAAAAACCAATTTAGTGTTTAACACTAGGTCAATTGAAAATGTGCTATGTAATGTCATATACTCTCAATAAATCAACCTTAACAATTTTCTTAAATGAAGACATACTGTACATGAAGCATCTTTACAGTTATCATCCAAAGCATTCCACAATTTAATTTCCTGCACCGATGTGCAGCGGTCCTTCAAACTTGTTCTAACTTTAGGCTTAATAAACATCTCCAAACCTTTAAGATTATATTTATTGACTCTCTTAATGTAATGTGACTGAATATTCAGAGGTAAAGAATTTGTATGAGCTCTGTACATAATCTGTAGAATACCATAATCAACCAACTCATTATTTAATAACTCTTTAGCCTTATAAAGTACAGCAATTGATCTTGCTATCTTAGACCTCAAATAATTTATATGAGGCCTCCACATTAACTTATCATCTATGATTACACCCAGAAATTTTACTTTGCTCACTCTACGAATGTTATTTCCATCAACCTTAAATGAAGCATCACCCATTATTTGTTTTTTTACTAAATATCATATAGTTCGTTTTTTCCTAATTCAGTGATAGTTTGTTTAGTCCAAACCAAGTCTGTATTTTCACAAACTCTGCTTGCATCTCATCCAACATATGCTCTAAATTCTTTCCAAAACAAAAAAATGTAGTATCTTTGGCAAATATGACACATATAAACAACTCCGAAACATTTACCAGATCGTTAATGTATAAAAGAAACAACTTTGGTCCAAGTACGGAGCCCTGCGGGACCCCACATGTAACATTACCTAAATTAGATTTTACATCATCTATTTGAACAAATTGCTTCCTGTTTATCAAATAACTAGACACCCACTTCAACACTGGCCCTCTTATATATTTACTCAATTTATCAAGCAAAATGCTTTGATCAATAGTATCAAAAGCTTTTTATAAGTCAACAAAAATACTAACACAATATTGTTTCTGATCAATAGCTGTTACTTGTTCTATCAGGTCCATGAGAGCCATTGATGTTGAGTGTCCAGTTCTGAAACCGTATTGGTTTCTACTCAAAATATTTTGTTTTTCGATAAATCGATCCAATCTAATTACAAACAACTTTTCCAGACGTTTCGAGAACTGGGGTAACAATGATGTTGGTCGATAATTAGTAAACATGTCTTTTGCACCATTCTTATGAAGTGGAAGAACCTTTGCTATTTTCATGCCATTAGGGAATATTCCTGTAGAAAATGATAGATTTCATATGTATGTAAAAGGCTCAACAACATAACCCATTATCTCCTTTACAAACGTCATATCCATGTTCATCCAATCCTTAGATTTTTTATTTGATATATGTTTTACCATATTCATTTCACCTGTGTTCTTGATCTGTTTTATTTGGCCTGGGTCAGCTGAGCCCCCAGAAATCTCTGAAAAAATATACTTAAAACTCTGCTTTTTCCAGCCATTTGAAGTAAGAGGAGGCCACCACTTTACAAAAACATAAAACTTTTACAGTATGATATGGTATTTACTGTAAATCATAGTCTATATAGTCTTTGAGCTGGACTTGATCTAAGATCATATTTGAAAATTGTGCCCTTATATTGTTTTTGTTTTGGAAAGCTCTGAGAAATTTACTGACACAGAAAAACAACAGAAGAAAACACAACTTGCCCTACACTGTTTGGTCCCGTCTTTATTGAGGCTCTCCATTATGAGCTGTGAAACTTCCAGTTAGGGTGGCCAGATCCTGATAAAATGAATGTGGGACAAAAAGCTAATGAGAGACAATCGTGCACCTCATCAATGTTGTGATGTCATAACTTTTCATTTATTATAGCTCCCACGTTACATTAATTATTCTCTGTTTTGCCTGTTCACTGTAAAAAATGAAATGTTGGATTTACTTAACCATGTTATGTGACCTGGTTCCACTTAACTGAGTTGAGTAAATTCAAAGCAGTATACCAGTTTTTTAACCAAAGAACATGAGCATGTTGCTTTGAATTTACTCAACTCAGTTAAGTGTAACTTACCCCAAAATTAACTTTTTTTAGCTGATAAACTGTCTAGAATGTGTCTAAAATGTTATAT